AAAATCACATCAATTGGACTTCTGGATTGAAAGATTTGCTCCAAATACTGCATCATATTCAGTTTTTACATCCTGCTACAGTGGTCCGAATTGACAAATGTTTTGACCATGATCCAATCATAACTGGGCCAATTGGTGAACATAAAATTGTTCCCTTCTTCTTATAATTTGATTGGTCAAAGAATCACCTCATTTGGAGTTTTTTAGAAAGAGATATGGTTAAAATATTGAAACATATACGAATGAAGCTATCACCATACTTGCACTGATTTTCATCAAATGAGTCTTTTTCATCAATTTCCTACAAAAGCCATAGGAGAAATTAGCAATAACTACTCTTAAAGTAATTTAAAATAAATAACTTAAATTTAACTAAAATAACTTAAATTAATCACTTAACAAATAATCAAACTTAAACTAAAAAAACACCTATAATGCTAAAATTCGAACATAAAATCTCAAAGATCTAGCTACTTAAGCTCCCAAAATGAGTCAAAATAACTCTATATAATAGAGTTATCACCAATCTTAGACGACATGGTCATATCTTATTTTCCTTTGGCTTCACACATACTCTCAATCTTAAAATCAATTAATAATCCATGTTCACAAGGACAAATTTATTCTAATTAATCATAGCCAGTTTTCAACCAATTCCATTTACATGCCATACTTTCCTAGATACTAGTCACCATTATCAAGCATAACCAAATTATCAGTTTCAAGCATGTTGACGATCATATTTCCAGCCAACATCAATATATTTAGCATCACATTTCAATCACAATGACTCACGAAACAAGGCTCAATTGCACCCAAGCATTTGACTTATTGGTTAGTGTATGATCTTACTGTCTAAAGAGTAGGGTTTGAATCTCCCTCTCTTAATTAAAAAAAAACAAGGCTCATTTTTTTTAAAAAAATTGACATTAGTTCCCATGCAATTACACACTAGTATGGTATTTAACTATATAGATATACTAGGACATGACATTTGGAGCTTATTTTAAATCTATACACAATTCGCACATAAAGAAGACATATATTCACATATGGACCAACATATAACACTCAACAATTGCAAATTTCCGAAAATCACATATTATGCATTTACTAAAAGCATGTAAGTTAAAATCAAAATATCATTTTGACAACCACAAGAGAGATATTGATTCCAAAAAAATTAAACTATTTACAAATATCTAATTATTGGTACCCCAATTAAATCCCCATGAATGAAGAAATGCACAAACATGTCTCCATCACATTCCTTTACCTTATACAAGAAATTAAGTGTAAAAGAATTATAAAATAATTATTGTTATTGAAGGTTTGACATAAAGTCTGCCAATGCTCACTGTGTAATACTCCATGTTTTTACGTGTGTGGATAAATCATTCCATCAACTTAGCAAACTAAATATTCACTATTCAAAATGAGTTAGTGCCTGTTTAGACTAGTTATTTGTAGCTTATCTACTTCTTAAGTAGAAGTTGAGCCAAGCACTATTTTGTGAGAAGCTTTTAAAAAAAGTAATTTTTTTTAAAGAACAAAATTTTAAAAAAAAAACTTATAAAAACTCCAAATAAGAGCTTTCTCTTCTCTTTTTTTTTTAAAAAATACGTCAGTTTCTTAAAAGAGTTATTTTTTTTCCAAAAAGATACTCTTTAAAAAAAAACTCCCTCCCTTTCCTCTCTCTCTTTCTGTAAATCATTCTTATAGGGTTTTTTTTATTCTTACAAAAATTAAGAAAAAAGAAGACCTAAAATTTAAAATTGTATTAAGGTATTATAGACTTATCTATAAAAAAGAACTTTATAATAGCTTTTCAGCTAAAAAAAACCCAACCAAATATGCTCTTAGTTCACTTTCCCAAGAAACTACACTTATTTCATTCCAATTCTTTTTTATTTTGAACCTTTAAGTTACACAGTCCACACTTATATAATTTAGAAGATTTACATTAATAGTATTATAGAAAAATTACTCTAGACATGTATAATGGCCCCAAATTAAGCAAATTATATATTTCCAAAAAGTGAATATTTTGAAATATTAAAAATAGGTGTGTTGAGAATGAATTTAGAGGCAGGTATTTATAGAAAAGAGCACTAAGAGAATCAAAATAAAATATTTTAAAAGATCAAGTAAAAAGCAACATTCCAAAATATTTTGATAGACCTAGTAAAAGGATTGAATAAAGCAATTAAAGTACAAAATATCACTTGGGTTTACTCTACGTGTATATTTAAAGGTAAGGGAAATTTCACACTTTCTCACAACTTGGCTTGATCTCGTATGCACATAAGTCTAATTTTTTTTCTTACTTACAATAAATACATAATAGATTTACTTATATAAAACACTTAATATCTTTTGTACTTAGACAATATGAAATTGAAACCTTATAAAATATTATTAATTTTCCAACAATCTAACCATGTATTCAAAAATGAAATACATCTCTAGTGATTTTCACTTTGTCAGAGAGAGAAATTTTAAGGATCTACTTCAAATACAGCATATGTCCACAAAGGACCAATAAGCTACCAACCTTCTTTTTTATTTCATTTCTTTCTTCTTTATCATATCTTTGTGTTTTTTTTTTTCCCTTTGTCTAATTGCATCT